CATCCGCCTGTACACTTTCCAAACAAAAACTGTAAATGGCACCCACTCGCCAACAGACAGCTCTAACAATCAGCCGACAGCCCCATATCTTAGAAAGCTTCTTCTATTCCATTAGAAAAAAAAAATGATAAAAAAACACGAAATAAAATGGCACTTACGTTATGTTACACTCAAAAAAATCGTTTTGCTTTAAAGCAAAAAAAGAAAAAAAACAAAAAAAGAAAAAAAATAAAGTCAAAAAAGTCACCCCTGAATGATTCATTGTTTCTCCTGGTCTATCTTTCGATTGGTCTGTCCACATTTGATCGATTTTATCTGCAAAATTTTTCCCCGAATTCTCGTTATGTTTCTTCTCGTCTACTGATGTCGCTTAATATTTGGCTTCAGGTCTTGCCAAAATCGTAACATTCTCCAAATAAAAAAAATAAAAATGACAGTTATAATGTACTAATAAAAAAAAAATTATTACTGTTAAAAGACATCAATGTAAAACATACGTTTCCACGCGGCTTACCAAATAATAGTTTTGATTTGATTTGACTCGTTTTTTATAGTTTATCACCCCTTTGCAGGTTATTTAAAGCCAGAAAATATTTTTAGATTTTTTTTATGATGACAACGTATACTAGTTTGTTCCTTGGCCAATGTCAACGTAGTAGAGACTTTGTAATCGCAGATACAACTATAGTAACGCCGTTGAACAATTCTGGTGTCTGACGCCTTCGAATAACACTCGCCCTAATAGTACTTGCTCGATAATTCTCGCTTGAATACGAACCAACGAATTGTAATCTGAATAGAGGATAGAGAAGAAATAGCGATCTGTTAGCAATAGAGGATAGACTAGAATGATATTTATTTTGTATAAATACGAAATTGTGGCATATGGCCGAAGGGGAAGTGGGGAAAGGTTGACATTTCACCGACTATCCTAGGCCTAGATAACCACAGTCACGGCCAATTCATTCATTACGATATTGATATTGAGTCTCCCTCCCACTGGGGCAACATGTGACACAAGGTCGGTTTTTTATTGTGGGATTCCCGATAAACGGGTTCAGGGCCGGTTTTACCTCCCCGAAGGAGACTCCGCCCATCGGCGTAGCCTCCTTCGGGTTCCTCTCCGTCCGGAGACAGAGAGTTGAACCGAGCAGTCTGTTCAAAAATGAACGGCTGACCAATTCATTCATTACAATTACATATTGACCACAAGAATTCATCCATCACCTCGCAATCGTGAACGCATCACAATACGACATATTCACAAAACACGCCATATTTTCCAATGCACAAATGAATATCAACTTGTCCAGAGGTTAGACTACAATAACGAACACGGAGTGTACTCGTTCACCCACCAGAACGAGATGTGAGACAAGGTCCTTTTTTAAAAGTGGGTACCCGAGCACGTATACCCGGGCAAGGGACAAAAATTCCCCACAGCTCCCTCAACCGTCGGTTGCGCAGGCTTCGGTGCGTAACTACCCCAAAAGAGTAATTTACACACGCATTTTCGTAGATCACGAGGTCTTTTGCCGGTTTTTACCCCCGAGAACGAAGTCTCTCCCGAACGGCATGTACATACCTCTGGCCATGGTTCCTGCTATCATTTCCAAACTAAATCCTTTACGGACATGACGGTATCCCTGTAATTGTCGTAAGGGAATTTGCTACTGAAACACCTCCTGTTTGAAACTCCAAAACCTTATAACAAATTCTTTGCTGATTATTGCTTTCCCCATGCTCATGTGTGCGGGTGGTCTAAATATATACGTGGTCACTGAGGTTGACTCTGAGTGGTTGAACACAATCTTCAGATCATGCGTGCTGTATGGTGGTCAACTATTTATATACATATGTAAATAAATAAATAAATTTACATACATACATATATATATATATATATATATATATATATAAATAAATAAATAAATTTATATACATATGTACCATATTTGACGGCAAGTAAGACGCAAGGGTGTATAAGATGAATAACTACCATTTTTCCAGATCACGGTATTTACTCTGTCCCCCCACGAGGTCAGGGTGTCACACAAGGTCGGTTTAATGTGGGGATCCCGAGCGCGTTCACCCGGGCAAGGAACAAAATTTCCCCGAGCCCCCGCAACCGTCATAGCTTTGTAGAGAATAGGTACCTTTTACACTATTTACATCGTTCGGACAGTTGTCCTCATCTTTATTGCTATATTCACGACGTTTCGGCTGTTGTACGCTCCGACCTTCTTCTACGTTGGACACATGGCTCAACATTGGTTGAAATAGCTTGTAAGGGCCTATCCTCAGTCTTTTAAACAGGGGTAGAAGTTTAAACGCTGTCTAGGAATGGGTTTCCGGTTCTTTCTAAATTCTTCGTCCTGGGTATGACAATAAACTACATCCGTGTCCAGATTAAGACAATAAACTACGTCCAACAGCAAGACCTCTGATCAGGAGGTTTTGAGGAGTGTGGAACGACCTCTTAATTGCTGGTCTTCCCAACTTCATACTGACCCGGGGTGGTAGCATCTGTTAGGGTCCCAGCTTTCGGCAAATAGTTAACCCCGAAACTGAGGTAAAAAGCATTATAGATGTGTAAAAATAGGTTTTAATACTCGAAATACTTCGTAAAAAAAATTATTACTAGAAATAAATTTTTGAAGAAAAAAACTATTATCAGCAATACGTTTTTGAAAAAGCAAAATATTACCAGGAAAAAAATGTTGTCGGCATTAAATAACCCATTGAGGTTGATATGCCGTAAAACAAAATAAACCAAACCAATCTAAACCAAAGAATACATATTCTATTCATACGAATCAATCCCTAAAATGTCGTCGGCATTAAATAACCCATTGAGGTTGATATGCCGTAAAACAAAATAAACCAAACCAATCTAAACCAAAGAATACATATTCTATTCATACGAATCTATCCTTAAAAATGCATTAAATAACCCATTGAGGTTGATATGCCGTAAAACAAAATAAACCAAACCAATTAAACCAAAGAATACATATTCTATTCATACCTTAAAATATTAATTAAATAACCCATTGAGGTTGATATGCCGTAAAACAAAATAAACCAAACCAATCTAAACCAAAGAATACATATTCTATTCATACGAATCTATCCTAAAAAATGTTGTTGGCATTAAATAACCCATTGAGGTTGATATGCCGTAAAACAAAATAAACCAAACCAATCTAAACCAAAGAATACATATTCTATTCATACGAATCTATCCCTAAAATGTTGTTGGCATTAAATAACCCATTGAGGTTGATATGCCGTAAAACAAAATAAACCAAACCAATCTAAACCAAAGAATACATATTCTATTCATACGAATCTATCCTTAAAATGTGGTCGGCATTAAATAACCCATTGAGGTTGATATGCCGTAAAACAAAATAAACCAAACCAATCTAAACCAAAGAATACATATTCTATTCATACGAATCTATCCTAAAAATGTTGTTGGCTTTAAATAACCCATTGAGGTTGATATGCCGTAAAACAAAATAAACCAAATCAATCTAAACCAAAGAATACATATTCTATTCATACGAATCTATCCTAAAAATGTTGTCGGCATTAAATAACCCATTGAGGTTGATATGCCGTAAAACAAAATAAACCAAACCAATCTAAACCAAAGAATACATATTCTATTCATACGAATCTATCCTAAAAATGTTGTTGGCATTAAATAACCCATTGAGGTTGATATGCCGTAAAACAAAATAAACCAAACCAATCTAAAGCAAAGAATACATATTCTATTCATACGAATCCATCCTAAAAATGTTGTCGGCATTAAATAACCCATTGAGGTTGATATGCCGTAAAACAAACCAAAAAAAAAAAAAAACAAAAAAAAACAAATAGTCCTTCTAAATTCTACTTCAACTCTATAATTCTAACGTCTGAACTCTAAAATCTTTACTATTTTTTCTCAACAATAGAAGTAAATAGGTTACCCTATCGTCCGGTTCACGCTTCTTCCCGGTTTTTTTTTTTTGAACAGGAGAAGAGTTTATTATCATTTCTGTTTAGGATTGGGTTTCCGGTTCCTTCTAACGTCTGTTCGTTCTCTTTCACTCCCATTAAACCATTTGCATCTTAGTGGCATTATTATTTTGCTCAGACATGAATTGATAAAAAAAAAAAATTGAATACAACGAATCCTACTGGATTTGGAACACGGCTCTCCGATTAACAATCTCGAATCATTATGCATTACACTACCCGCAGATCCAAGCAAAGCATACTGAACCAAGCAATCACCCATCTTAACCGTACGAGAAGCGATGTTTCAACGTGATGTGGCGGCAAGCCAGTTATTCAGGAATCGTTTGCACCAGACCCCTCTAAATCTACCGTATTGTCCTAACTTCTATGATGAATAAGTACCATTTTTGCAGATCACGGTATTTACTCTGCCCCCACCCCCTCTAGGACGAGTTGTGACACAAGGTCTATTTTTAGGTAGGGACCCGAGCGCGTACGCCCGGGACAGGAACAAAAAATTCCCCTCCGCCTCCGCTGGCCTCGGTGCGAGCCCCGATCCCTCCCTTATATGCCGCCAAATACGGTAAATACACAAATAAATATATATCCATATATTTACATACATCTATATTTAAGACATTTTAAGACCTGATAACTATAATCTTCTAAACTTTAAATGTAATGTCAATCGATATCTTCTGTTGCCTTGATCCCCCTTCTTCGTTTTATCCTTTCCCCGACCCACTATTTTCCCTTATTTACACTCAGTGTAACCTCTTGTGCACTGGCGGCATTCTAGCATTGCTGGGTGAATTGCTAAAAAAAAACATGGATTATTGAACTGTGTATTAGTTACAGCGTTTTATTCAGTTTATACAGTGATAAAAACGGATTTAATTTGTTTTTTTAAAGATAACGATATTAGAACTCGGCTCTCAGATTATCCATTCAGAGCGATTATCTATTAAATCAATCGCACATTCAAACTTACAGCACCTGGTATTCCCAAGCGGTCACCCATCTAGGTACTGACTAGCCTCAACGTTGCTTAACTTCGGTGATGGTACGTGCACCGGTGTTTCAATGAGATGTGGGAGGAAGACCTAGAATCAAAACTGGCATTCATGTGAAAAAATCTTCTACCGTTCCTGATTTCGTAAAGTCTTTTATTCTCTCCGACTTTAAGTAGACCCTTGTGTCTTCGTGGCAATGGTTGGGGGGGGGATTGATTTTTTTATAAAAAATCACATTACCCGATGGAAGGCAATAAGCTCGCTAAGACACAATTTTCTAACATCTGCGTAAAAAATCCTAGATTTTTCAATTGTGAACTTCTTTGAGTTTGACATCTCTATTTTGTAGTGCATATTTTGGCATAGTCCTTTGTTTAGTCCTTCCTTCTCCAATTTCTTTTCTGCCTTCTGTGCTTATTCCTCTAGTTTTCTTTCTGTGTCTGCTATCGACAATGTGCTATTTAAATATCTCATTTTTTTGTTTATACATTCTTTTTATAGATACAAATATTTAAGTAAATGCTCTGTTTATAATAAACAGTATTAACAACATTTACTGGCCTGTATCCTATACGGAACCGTCACATAGCCTGACGTGCTTTTACCGATTTCGCCATAGAGAAGCGTTTCGTTTAGCAAGGTCGATTTTACCGTTTTTAAACTACAATTTATATGATCTTCTCACGTACATTCATATCTGCTCGATGCGTATACAAATGTAAACAAATAACGTCACGCATTATGAAATGGACAAAGTCATTTTTATGTTTATACATTCTTTTTATAGATACAAATCTTTAAGTAAATACTCTGTTTATAATAAACAGTATTAACAATATTTACCGGCCTGAATGTCCGAGAAAATGTCTTCCGACAGGAATCGAACCTGTATCCTATACGGAACCGTCATATAGCCTGACGTGCTTTTACCGATTTCGCCACAGAGGAGCGTTTCGGCTAGCGAGGTCGATTTTACTGTTTTTAAACGACAATTTCCCATCATTTTCTCAAGTACATTCATATCTGCTCGATGCATATGACGGTACCGTGTAGGATACAGGTTCGATTCCTATCGGAGGATGCATATTTACTATAACAATTTCTCGGACATTCAGGCCGGTAAATGTTGTTAATACTGTTTATTATAAACAGAGCATTTACTTAAATATTTGTATCTATAAAAAAAAGAATGTATAAACATAAAAATGTATTTAAAATAATTGTCGGACTTTGTCCATTTTATAATATCTCATGTTGTTAAGATCGTCGACGCCAACAATGAATCCAGGTAGAACATTTAATTCTCTCATGATCATCTCACTGTACTGCAAGACCGGTGAGAAAACACATTAGAACGTCACATGATAACCGCTTCTCTTATGTAGAGATTTGTTGGATGGGGACGTATCTTGTTTCGTAAAAAATTGAGCGCAGTATTTTTTTATTTTTTTAACTAAAGAGTGAAACGGTATTATTTCTCTGTCGGCATGAAGTTCGCGACATACAATCTATAGATGAACAAACGAACTAGGCCGAAAATGTGATGAAAAGAAAATAAATCAATATTTTGACGAAAACAGTTTGACTGTTATCGTAGACTCTGATAAGAAAGAAACACTTAAAATTAAATTGGCGATTAAAGAATAAATAATTCCAAAATGGCGTTCAGTTTCCTCTGAATTCTTTTTTTTTACAAACGAACAGAGAAGTATAAAGAGTAGACAACAAAAGAGTTGCATTCCAGTGGGTTGTACTTAAACGACGTCACAAACACAGACGTATTATTATAAAGAAGGACAAAATATCCATTCTTTCTGTTTTTCTCTATATATATATATATATATATATATATATATATATATATATATAATTAATTATTCAAAATATGATTCATTCGCTACATAAGAGTTCTCATGTTTCAAAACAAGAGCCGAAAACTTCAATATAATTATTTGAATTAAATTGAATTAAATTACTAAGCTCTGTTCCATCCTCAAGCGATGTTTTCGGCTCTTGTTTTGAAACATGGGAACACTTATGTAGCGAAGGAATCATATTTTTGAATAATTATTATAATTCAGGCACTACTTTTGTATCGAGCACTGTTTTTAAAAAAAAAAAAAAACAAAATATTAAATAACTTCGGATTGTTTACCTAACGAGTTCTTTCCTATTTTCTATATATTTTCACACACACACACACACAAACACACACACACACACACACACACACACACACATATATATATATATATATATATATATATATATATATATATATATATATATATATATATATTTTGTATTTAGGCAGTAATGTTTCTTTCATGCATATTTCATTGAATACGACAGACAAGGTGTTTTTATTTAGTTTTTTTATACAATTTCTCATGCGATCTAATAATGTTTTTTTTTTTCTTTTCAGATGATTAATTATATAAAAACTGTCCGGATGTTCTTTTAATCCGAGCCCTTTCGGCTATACATTTAGCCATTTTCAAGGATTAAATATTTTAACTGTTAAATAAGAAATTGATTGTTGCATGTATGTATTTATAAAAATGTTTTCATTTTTCAAAACACGGTCAAGACATCGTGTCCATGTTCAAAGTTAATATTATTAAGTGTTTTTTTGTTTTTTTTACCAATAAGGCTTCCATTATTTTTAGCCTGTTTTTTGCATGTAGATGATGCTATTATATTAGTGTTGTCAACAAGTATGCTACGAATAGTGTCCGGTGAGATCTAATTGAGCTATGGTCAGGAAGGTATAGAGTTAGACTGCGTGTCAAACATGTTGTAGTGTGGCCTATATAATTATTTAAGAATTTTGATTGATCAGGAATACAATTCCTTAATGGGTGTTTAACATGGACACAACATCTTGACTGTGTTTGGAAAAATCAAAACATTTTATAAAACATACATGCTACAAACTATTTCTTAACAGTTAAAATATTTAATCCTTGAAAATGGCTAAATATATAGCTGAAAGCGCTCGGATAAAAAGAACATTCGGAGAGGTTTTATATAATTTATCATCTGAAAAAAAAATTATTAGAGAAATTGTATAAAAAACTAAATAAAAGCACAGTGTCTGTCGTAGTCAATGAAATGTGCATACAAGTATAATTTTATAGATCAACAAAATAGCACAGCACAGAAAAGGCATTGGTTGCTCACCGTAACAAAACGGTTATAGGGAATGCTACTTTGATTAAAAGAGAAAGTAATCCACTAAGACGAAAATATCTGGAAAGTTCCTTGATCGCTGGTTCAGCTACGATAAATTTGCACCCAGACTCTTGCAATATATCATCATTCTTGGTAGATTTTATATTGTCACGGTGTGGGATAGTCAGAAAAAAAGTTCATGGAGAGAAAAGAAAAAGAAAAAGAATGGAGATGAATTTAGCTTGATCGAAACAAAAAATATTCTTTAAAAAAAAAACTGCATCTCTCGTTTCGTGCGCATGTGCAGACGTGGCAACATCAACAAAGTCCAGTCCGATTAAATCCTAACAGATGAGATGCGTCTCAAGAAATTTTCCAGTTTGTCTATACATATATATATTTTTAATTTTTTTAATTTTTTAATTTTTTTCATATATTATATATATATATATATATATATATATATATATATATATATATATATATATATATGTAGCGAAGGAATCATATTAAAAAAAAGAAAATTATAATTTAGGCTCTACTTATGTATTGAGCACTGTTTTCAAAAAATAAAACAAAAATACTAAAGAACTTCGGATTATTAACCTAACGCGTTCTTTTCTATTTTTCTGTATATTTACCCCCCACACACACATATATATATATATATATATATATAATTATTTATTTAAAAATTATAACATAAATATGTTATAAAATCACTACAAAAATAGCCATTTTGTTTCAACACCCTCAGTGTCTTATCAAGTGATGATGTTGAATGTAGATTGTAGAATAAAGGTTCAAATTAATTAGCCACCCCTCGTAAGGGGAAACGCTGTTACATGAGCTGAAATGACCAATCAAAATACAAGTATACGAGAATTCAAAAAAATTGACAATGGAGTAAGGTTATAATAAGTATTAAATGCTTTAAAGTTAGGTTTATACTAAAATAGAATTTATTCTTATAAGTATTAAATTGTACGATAAAATTTGAAATTAAAATTAAAAACTACCCAATTCAAAAATGTAAATTTAATCTATATTGAGTTTAAAATTTTAAAATTATTGAGGAAAAAAGAAAGAAAATACATATGTTATTCTATTCATTTTGTTTCTATTGAAGTTACGTTGGAATAAACGTTAAGATCCACTGCCCTTAACTTAATGACAACATGGATACAAGGGTAGACATGGGATTATGACATCTTGCAAAAGACAATACAAACACAATCAGATTATAATACATAAGCACGCAGACATATACACCAATCATATACTTGGTATATATATATATATATATATATATATATATATATATATATATATATGTGTGTGTGTGTGTGTGTGTGAAAAGTGTATATAAATATAAATAAATATATATATGTATAATTATTTATATATTATACGGTACTTATTAGAAAGAGAGAGAGAGAGAGATAGAATAGATAGAGATATATAAATACATGCATAGATATATATATACATGTGTGTTTATATATATATATATATATATATATATATATATATATATATATATATATATATATATATATACGTGTGTGTGTGAAAAAGTGTATATAAATATAAATAAATATATATATATATAATTATTTATATATTATATATGGTATTTATTAGAAAGCGCTCAATATCAGAGATAGAGCTAACATATTTGGTTGGATAGATGTGAGTTTGTGACCCTGGGTTTCACGCTTTAGCGATCGTCAGACAAACTCAGATATATATATCTGTTGTAATGGAATGTTCCACTTTCCCTATTACGTAATCGTAATATGGACTAACTATATCAATAACAAATGTAGTGTGCACTGGACATACCAGAGACTGTGTGTCTGTCTGTCTATCAGTCTGACTGGCTTCGGAAGTGTTAG